CCCCACGAGCGGCAGGAGGGTTCCATCAAAAGGCCACAGGATCCCCCCGGCTGCCCCGCTGCCCAGAGCTGGTGGGCAACCAGGGAGAGGCAGGAGCAGGGCTGGGCAGGGGAGCGGGGCTTGGCCACCCCCCCCAGGGGAGCGGGGCTTGGCCAGCCCTCCTGCGGCAGGGTGCTCCCACCGCCTCTGCCCGCGCACTCCCCGCACCCTCCGCACGTCCACACGAACTGGTATCAATACAAGCAGGTTCCGCATGTTCAAGCTCCCTGTTTACAGCGTGACTCATAGAAATGCAGAACCAAACAGGCTTCCCTGCAGAAAGACCTAGACTTTCATTTTTACTTAATCCTTTGGCAGCTATGTCCAGATACCCTCACGTGTTTTGCAGTTAAATGCCAACGCCGAGGCCGTAGAGGTCGGGATGCTGCTGGAGGCTGGCTTGCTACGCGCCATCAAACCTGCGACGTCACTCGCTGCAACAGCGACGTGTGGGGCAGGGAGAAGGTGTCTGGGTATGTAAGTGCCGAAAAGAGAGGTGGAGGCAGGATTCAGGAGAGATGAAACAGCTCTATTGGAAATCCCTCCCCAGCTCGATTCTGCTAAAATGCTGGAAGCCTACTTTAGAGGGTGATTGAACAGGTGCCAGTGAGCCACTGGGTGGCCATAGAACAGGTCCCCCTAAGTGTTCTGGAGCTCTTGGGAAGTTGTGTTTGTGTAGAAGGGTCGTTTGGTTAATTACTCGGGCAAGTTCACCCCAGAAAGGTGGCAATGCCTGTACCCACCCCATGGCTGAGCTTTCCACAGGCCCAGAGATATTTACTGTCGGGCTGATACCAACCGTCATATTTCTGGTAGGAAATACTTCATTTATTTTATTGCTCTTGCTCTCATAAAATTTGGCATGTGTATGTATGAGCACTATACACACAACATCTGTATCCCTATAGTCATATGTAAGTATACACACACATACAGACATACTCCTAACGTGGGCATCTGGATCCCCAGTGAGTCAGAGAGACAAAAAGCAGAGTTTATGGATATCGTGGTTGGGGGCCGTCACAGAGATGAGCGTGCGTGGGTGTAGCGTGGTCCCAGACACCCTTGAGGGAAACCTTGGCCATCCACCTGACTGAACGCGAAGGTGCACCTTCCAAAACATCCTCCGAAATCACCCTGTGCCCGTGGCCGCTGGGTGCCCGCAGCCCCAGCATACCCTTGCGCCCGAGCCAGTGCAGGAGGCAGGTCTTGTGCTCTCGGAGGGACCCGACCCCTGCCGTGGGGCAAGGCAACCCCACGCTGCAGCCGGGGTCCCCGGGCACCAGGTGCTGCCTCCGTGCCTCCCCGGTGCCCGCTCCCCACCACGGGGACGTGTGGAAGGGGGCTCCTTGCAGCTGCATCCCTCAGATTAACGCCGGGGGCTCGTTTGCCGTGTGTGTTCTGGTTACTTCAGCGACCCGGACCCTCGCGCCTCACCGGCCGTGGTGCGAATCGCCCAGCTCTCCCCCGGCACGCTGAGGCCGGGCTCTGCCG